ATCCAAATTGTGCAGCGCCAGGCATACTAAATGCAAAACTTTGTCTCAGGCAAGAAGAAATTCCACCCACCTCACTTGTCCTAATAAAGTTAAAAAAGCTTTTGACTTTAAAAAAAAAAAAACAGGAAGCAAATTTTCAGGGAAACGAATGCTGATAACCAAAGTTAGAGAAAAGAAGAAGATTGCTTCCTTTAACTTTTGATTAGAAATTACAGTGCCAGATGAATCCAGGAAACCTGAGGAAAACCAAGAAGTTTCTTCTGCTTCAGGAATTCAGTTGGTCTGTAAAGGGCAGATAAGTGTTTCAGGCAAACTGCAACAAGGTCTTTAGTTTGGTGTTTGTGTGCAAGTAAAAATCTTTATTGTTTCTGTTAATTTATTGTCTCTGATGTATATTCTATCTATCTGAGCTTAGTTATCCCTCTTGGGATCTCCGAAGAACAGATCCAACACAGCTTGAGTTCCATCCCAAGATTTTATTCTTGTTATTGCTTTTTATGAGAAATTTTACAAGAGGTGCTGTTTGTGATATTAGCAGTGCAGTATTTTTATTTTATCCACCATTTATTGGTTGTACTTACGACTAGCAAAAGTTTAAAAGATATATTTACACTCATAAAAGAAAAGTCATTTTATTTATCACAGGTGAGTTTGATCTACCTCCCAAGAGAGGGGAGACTGATTTTCCCAGTCACAGGGCTTGTGCCTCAGATGTGGTGCTATTATTAGAATTTTTAGAATTTATTTCAGGTTTATCCCCCGTCTTTTATATTTGCTCATAAGCATACATAGGCCATGGAGGTCTTCACACACATGTGCATGCATACACAGGCTCAGACACACCACACATCTGGATTAAGGCAGGGGTGAAATCCAGCAGGTTCTGACAGGTTCTGGAGAACCAGTAGCAGAAATTTTGAGCAGTTCGAAGAACCGGTAGTGGAAATTTTGAGTAATTCGGAGAACCGGCAAATACCACCTCTGGCTGGCCCCAGAGTGGGGTGGGAGTGGAGATTTTGCAATATTCTTCCCCCAGGAGTGGGGAGGGAATGGGGATTTTGCAGTATCCTTCACCTGCCACGCCCACCAAGCCACGCCCACAGAACCGGTAGTAAAAAATTTGGATTTCACCACTGGATTAAGGGCGAGGGCACCAGGCAAAACTATTGCCTGAATCAGCTACACCATGTTGCTAAAACATGCAAAATTTGGAGAATTTCTGGGAGAGTAGCATTGCGATAGTTATCTACAGATTTTGTCCTACTGCTTCATGAGTAGGGTTACCAAACATCTGGCTAAACGAAAACATATCCATTGTCCAACAGAAATCTTAAAATCAAATACTGTCAGGTTTTTTGAGTGTTGTTTTTTGAAGGGAACTGTTTCCACCACAGTAGTCATTCAAATTTTTATCTGTCATGACATCCATATCCGTACCCATATGGTTTTTCACTGTAAATTTTTATTGCAGATGCCAAGGAAGTTTAGTGTGTCCTTTCTCCCATTTTTTCCTCCTTTCCCAATGTTCATGTCCTCCTTTTTCTGTTCAGAAATCTGATAACAAAGGTACAAATCAGTCAAGATCTGATTTGAATTCACAATTTACTGATGGTAAAGTTCTGGTTAAACAAGTGATTCAGGATTCAAAGGCAACATTTAATTAAAGATTTAAGCAGATTTGCGATTCAGTTCAGGAAAAGATTTGACCATAGATTATAATGGGAAAGAATCAAAATATATTCAGGTGCTTCACCTGAGTGGAATGAAATAGCAGGGATGATAGACTCTTTAGAAACAGCATTTCAAATAGCCTCAGGGATTTCACTGCAATTATCTTTTTTTTTTAAAAAAAAATATTCCCTCCAGTATCATTTTTAAGAAGAAAGTAGCAGGGATGAGCATGGCATGGTAATCTCTAAACTGTCCTGCAAAATGCCTATCCAGAAGTTGCTGAATTGTATGTATGTAGAAATGAACTTGGGAGACAGGAGGGTGAGCTGCAGACAGGAAAACTGGCACGTGGAAGATATTTCAGCCCATGGAAGGAGGGAGACCTTGGGAAGCAGTTCAAGAGGGACCTTCCTAGTTTTCCAGGGAATAAAAAGAAAGGAGGGGAGAAATACTTTTTAGCCTTGCAAGATTTTGTTGATGTAACAATAAAGAATAGTGCTAGTACTCCTGGTTGTAGTTTTCTGCATTACCTCTCAGGGCTAACATGAATGTAGGCAGTGTTTAATTTAAACATCAAAACTCTCAAAAGTTATTCTAAAGTTCTTACAAAACATTACAAAGAAGAGAAGAGAAGAGAAGAGAAGAGAAGAGAAGAGAAGAGAAGAGAAGAGAAGAGAAGAGAAGAGAAGAGTCGAGTCTTTGGAGATCTTCTAGTCCAGCCCCCTGCTCAAGCAGGAGAACCTATACTATTTCAGATAAGTGACCCATGATGATAAACCTATGACACACATGCCACAGGTGGCACACAGTGCTCTCTCTGTGGGCACGCAAGCCATCGCCCCAGTTCAGCTCCACCGTGCATGTGAATGCTCCTCCCGCTGGCCAGCTGGTCGTCTGCTGCACATGCGTGGGGGGCAGGGTGCATGTGGGGGCACGGGTCAGGGGCGGGGGGGTGGGGCAAATGTGGGGGGGCACACATGCACATTGCATTTTGGGGGTTTGGGCGCATGCACACGCTTTGGGCACTCAGTCCGGAAAAGGTTAGCCATCACTGGTCTAGACTCTTCTTAAAAACATCCAGTGATGGAGTGCCCACAATTTCTAGAGGCAAGCTGTTCCACTGGTTAATTGTGCTCACAAAATCTGTCAGGCCACTCATTTTTGATAGGATAGAGATGATAGGATTTTAGCATGGTTGGACTCTTCTTGGAATAATCTGTTGTGTGCTGCTTGTTCAACAATTTTTTTAAAAAAAGTCTGAGAAGCGTAATATCCCTATAGGCTATATCAGGGGTCAGCAACCTGCGGCTCTGGAGCCACGTGTGGCTCTTCATCCCTCTGCTGTGGCTCCTTGTTACTCAAAATATGCGTCACAATCGCCAATGTGCGACACCCACCGGCATGCGATTTATTGAGCTTTTCAGCCTTGGTAGGCCAACCATGGATAAATCCAAGAAAAGAAAAGTTTCAGAAGAAAACAGAACATTTAATTCAACTACATATGCTAGTTTTGTGGCCGCTCAAGAAATAAGTCAGGCACGGGAAGGTTTTTGTGGCTCCCAGTGTTTTCTTTTCTGTGGGAAACAGGTCCAAATGACTCTTCGAGTGTTTAAGGTTGCAGACCCCTGGGCTATATAATACTATATGATATAAATAAATAGAAGGTACATACATGCACAGTAGACTGACAACAAGCCAATTGTCTCAAACACATTGAGCAATGAAAACTGAGTCTCCTTTTCTCTCCTCCTTTAAGTCAACTTCTCTAAATATAAAACCTAATCAAAGAATGGAAGCATCTGCCACAAGCACTGTGCTAGGCAGGCTTTGCAGAAGGAGTAAATACTTATTAACCAGCTGCTCATTAGTATTAGGGAGCCCATCACTCCACTGAGCACCTCCCTCAATTTTGTCTCTGCAGGTGAGAAAAGCAGCAACCCTATTTGAAGCTCTGTAAAGCCAAGAAGTGCATCAAATCTTGAACCTTTTTTCTCCCTAATTTTTCCAAGCATCCAAACCAAATTTGATGTTTAGAAGAGATTGGAAGATCTGATTTGAAAATTCGATTCGAAGTGGTGATTCAGTCAAATGTCCTTCAAATCCAGTTACCCATTCAAGGCTTCAAACAATCCTATTCCTTTTCTATGGAGATTCTCGGCCATCATGGTTGTCACAAAGGTGCTTTTCCCAAAAAAGCAAGTGGACTTTGTTTTTTCCTTGAAGACCTTTCACTTCTCATCCAAGAAGCTTTCTTCAGTTCTGATTGAATAGGGTGTGTGGGGGGGAATGGAAGTTCAATAAGCCATAATGAAGCAGACTTTGGGTTAGCATGTTATGCAAACATGACTAACTCTATGGACAAACTCTCTGGCTTCCTCTTATTTTCTCTGTTTCTCCTCTATCCCTAATCTATGCACTGTCTAAACAAGCCTCAACATTGAGATTCCTATGCATTCTCTTGAGATAGGATGGAACAATAAAAATGCAATAACAGGAAGTGTGTGTTTTCTTCCACTCAAATCACAAAGACTGCCTGGATAAGCCCCTGGAGTTATCTTGGCAAGGTTTTTCAGAAGTGATTTCCCATTGCCTCCTTCCTAGGGCTGAGCGATAGTGAGTAGTGCAAGGTCACCCAGCTGGTTTTGTGCCTAAGACAGAACTGGAACTCAGAGACTCCCAGTTTCTAGCCTGAAGCCTTAATCAAAAGGAAGTGTGTGTTTTACCCTTGTTCGTTACTCCAATTCATTCCTTTTGGAGTTTAACAGTGAAAAGGATCTGTTTCACAATTTGCTTTGGCTTCACCCCTAACTGCAGGTTAATTAAGAAACTAGCCTTACACTGTGGAATCCCAGCATTTAATGAATCAAAGGTTAATAGCTCTGATTGTAATGTTAATTGACATATTTACCACTCATGAGCTTATCACACAATAGTTAGTTGGATGAATGATTTGGGGCATGGGGTCACAGCTCTTTTCCTTTCTGATATATTAAGCCTGTTTCCATACTGAGAAGCTACTGAATGGTCAGAACTACTGTCAGTTAATAGTGCCATAACAATTTAAAAATCAGCAGCCATGATGAGATGAGAAGAGACTCATTTGTATAGACAACAAAATATTAGAATCTGATTCAGGCATTAAGTAGAATTTCCTTGATTGGGCTATCTCAGGATTTAGCATTTGAAGTGAGATATGTTCCACAATGCTGAAGGAACAAGAATCATTCCATAGAATTGTTATTCTTCTGATTTTGGATTCCATAGAGTTCAGGAAAATTTCCACTGTCCTGTCTATGTGTTTTGAAATAACCCTTCCTTGCTAATCAATACTCAGATCTCTTAGAACATTTATCCAGAATTTAGCACTCCTGTTCAGAACATATTCACTCTTACTTCCAGTTGACTTTAGATCTTTGCTGAAACAACAATGAAAGTTTGTTACTTAGCACCTAGGAGTTATTTCCTGAATGTATAGTCTACTGTGTATAGTTTGGAATAAATATGTCTAGGTTTAAATATACTCTTTTTTCTGTTCTTGCAGAATGTCTCTGTTACTAAACAGCCAAGTCACACAGCTTATACCTACTGTTAACCATCATGGATTACTAATACTCACCTTAAATTCAAACTATGCATTATGGACTCCCAGTTGTAGTCTCTAAGCCTCTTCATTGAATTGAATTTAAATTCAAACTACAGTTTTTTTAAAAAAGCTACTCTTTCTGATCTGGGGTGGCATGGTGGCTCAGCGATTAAGACATTGGGCTTCTTGGCTGGAAAGATGGTAGCCCTGGTTTGAGACCTCAGTGCCACAGGAGGGGGTAAGCTCCCATCCTTGTCCCAGCTCCTGCCAACCTAATAGTTCAAAAGTATGGAAATGCAAGTAGATAAATAGATACCACTTTGTGATGTCATACTGGTCACATGACTGCAGAAATGTCTTTGGACAGTACTGGCTCAATGGCCTTGAAATGGAAATGAACACCACCTCCTATAGTCGGCAATGACTAGCAAAGTAAAATCTGCAGGGATTCCTTACCTTGACCTTCTCATTTATCCAGCTGCACAACTTTTTCCCTGCCATCTCCAACACCATGGAGTCTCAACCAGGAGTGAAATCTATTTACCTTCCTTACCGCTTCGGAAGTGCACGTGCCGCGCGCGTCATGTACACGCACAAACCTTCTGCGCATGCGCAAAACCTTCTGCGCAGAAGGTAAAAAAACACATTACTTCCTGGTTAAAACCAGGAAGTAATGACACCTGGGTGGGTGGGTGGAGCTTTGCTTCGCCATCGCTATCGGATTGCTGAACCAACGGCCAAGATCGCTACCGGATCGGGCGATCCGGTCCGATCCGGGAGCATTTCACCCCTGGTCTCAATCCAATGTTCTTCTCTCTAGCTTAAATTTCACAGCCAATGAATGATTGCAAGTAGAAGGAACAATTGAGGGTCTTCCCTATCCCCTCTAGGTGCTGCCATGTCTTACGTTGAGGGGGAAATGGTTTACCTTATTCTGAAACAACGAGAGAAAAATATTACAGAATGCTAGCAATCAACTCAAACAAATATATGATTAAAAAGGCTAGAAATAAACTGGGGAAGGGGAGAGATGAGATTCTTGCCTTCTACTGAGCAATTCCTTCCTACAGTGTAAACTATCACCCATCTCATTAGTGGAACAAACCAAGCAGAAGTTTGGAACCTTCTGGTGATGAATGTATATTATGCAGCCTCTCAAGACTTCCCAACTTTTGCTTGAGATTGTTTTTCTGATTTCTGTTTCAATCCTCTGACAAAGGAAAGGAGGGAGAATGGTTTTCATTGCAAATTTCAAGCGCTGCTATTAATAAATTTGTATTGGGGCGGGGAAGAACCTGGTTACACAAGAGCCAGCAAGGGTTCACATCAACATTTACCAGGACAGTAAATAGGGCTGGCTAAATGGAACCTATTTTGCAAATGGACTGTGATTCACATTCAGGAAGGAGGATGCTCTCTACTCGCGGTGATAAAGAGCCACTTAGAATGGACCTGCTCTTCACCAGCTGCCCTTAATAATGGGTTCCTTTTGTTTACAGCCTCATAGCCCCCCACCCCACCCCCGCTCCACTTTGCTTCTAGTTTAATGCTTCTATTGGCAGTTCATGTCCAAATGCTACTTTCCAGTCTTAGCTGGAAAATAAATAAGGCTTTGGGATACCATTAAGATTAAAGGAAAAAGAGTCAGGACATAGAGAGGGGCTAAAGACTGGGAGACAGAGCAATAAGAGGAAAACAGAGAGAGATCTGGGTTGAAAAGGCAGAAACATTAAGAAAGGGCATGAGGAAAATGGGGAAAATATTAAGCAGCTGCTTAATTGGGACAAGCGTCATCTTTTTACAGTGATTGTTTTTGTTTCTCATTCCAGTTGTTCACTCCAACTGAAATACACTCTCAAATCCTGCAACATCTGGGCCCGAATCCCCCCAAAGCAGGATTTTATACAAAAAATCAGAAACTGCACCAAGGTCATACTTGTTGGGCATCAGAAAAGAAAATGGTTTATTTATTTATTTATTTATTGGTTTGATTTATATGCTGCCCTTCTCCGGAGACTCAGGGCGGCTTACAATGCGTTAAGCAATAGCCTTCATACTTTTGTATATACCTGCTTAGTAGGGCTTTCGACACCCCCCCCCCCAAGCGGTGTTCTTTTTATACAAAGTCAGTTTATTGCCCCCACAATCCAGGTCCTCATTTTACCTACCTCGAAAGGATGGAAGGCTGAGTCAACCTTGAGCCTGGTGAGATTTGAACTTGCAGTAATTGCAGGCAGCTGGTGTTACTTAACAGCACTTTAGTCTGCTGCTCCACCAAGGCTTTATTTGGGTTTACTTGTAACCCAAACAAATTATACAAATGAAATACATTTGTTATGTTATTCAGTTTCATCTGCCATGAGAAGGAACAGGGAATGATTAAAAGCACAAGCCCCATATCAATGAAAATCTAATTCAATGTAATGAAAAATCTCAAAAGCCCAGGTATTCATTTTTACTTTTATTATTTATTTCTTATGTTCATATTCCAGGTTTTCTCTGAAATTAAAAGTCAATACCATTGTTCCACCACTGTAGCACAAATCAATATGCATATATCATATGGATTCATGCTTGAAAATCTGACCACACAGACCAGAGCTGAAAAGTTGCCTCCCATGTAAGTCCCAAGGTCTTTCTCACTAGATTCTGATACCTTTCTATTCTTTATAACTCTTCTCCTGGGAATCCTCTGCAGGAATTTGCTTTTCCTTCCTGCAACCCAGCAGTACTAATCCCCAGATGTTTATTTTTACTACATCATGCCAATGGGATGCATGAGAGGTTTTGCAGTATTTCCTTAGGTGAAAAGGAAGGCAAGAACTTCTGCTGCTCTAGGCCAGCCTCTGTCTTTTTTCCACAAATCTATCTCAGCTGCTACCTTTGGCTTTCTCTTCTGGCCCTGGGAGAATGATTCTATACAGCGCATTAGTTCATCCCAAGCTATCTTCCAAGTGGTTAACCCACACATGGCTTGTTGTTCTCAGCAGCATCTCTCAAAAGTGGTCTAACATTCCAGGAATCCAGGAATTCTGCCACAGTCTGTTTTCTGGACACGATGCCAGTTGTCTCTTCAAATGATTGATCTTCCAATAATTTTATTGGGTACTCTATTGGATTGCCTAAAAGCTGATTGTTCTGATATGAACTACACACATCTCAATTAGGAAGCAATCTTAACTACTAGTTCCACTGTGTGAGATCACTTCTCACAAACAGCAAAACACTCACAATTCACCCCTTCCAACATGTTATCTCTATAACTCACCAAACTCCATTAACCATAATCCAATTCCATCATTCTTCCAAATCAGTTTCTCTTATTCCCAGACTTCCTTTACCCAACAATCTCTCACTTCTACTTTTGTTCCATTATCTAATCTTCAATCACCTAATATACACTGTCTATCACAAACACAAAATAGTGGCACTCTCAATCACCACCTTGCCAACGTGTGTGTGTGTGTGTGTGTGTGTGTGTGTGTGTGTGAACTCAGTACAGCAACTATAAAAAACGCAAATCCTATGCTAGGGATTATTAGGAAATAGATTGAAAGTAAAAATGCCCTCATGCTCTTGTGTAACATTCTTACACAAATCTATGATACATTTGCATCTGAAATGCAATTCAGATTGACATTCTTGAAAAAGGATATAATACAGTAGCTGAAAAATGTGCCAAGAACCAAAATGATTGGGGGCTGTAATACTTTCTCCCTGAGAAAAAATATAACATGTTTAGAACTCTTTTGCTTAGACAAAAGAAATGACCAAGGGTGTATAAAATTATGTATAAATTATACATAAAATTATATAAAATTATAAATAAAATTATATTTGTGTGTGTATAATATGTATATTAATTATATATATATATATATATAATAAAATTTATAAAATTTTAAAATGTATAAAATTATATGACTGAGGTATATAAAATTATATGACTGAGATGTATAAAATTATGCAAGGCACAAGAGAAATATTTTTTTCACTTTCTTTAAATATTAGGACTAGGGCTTTCCAATGCAATTGAGTGGAAAGATATTTAAATAGACAAGTGAAGCATTTCTTCCCATAATTAATCCATAATTAATTGCATAATTAACCCACAAACTTCATTATAAGATGTGGCAAAAGCCACTAACTTGGACAGTTTCAGAAAGGTTTTTGGATATGTATCAGGAAGATATGTTTGTCCAAAATTATTGATCTTGAAAACTCAGGGTTCCCTCTGGGCTGGGAACAGCAATGCCACCATGAACCCAGTTGCAAGGAAAGGGGGTGCAGGGCAAGGGGGAAGGGGTATGTCTCCACTTCCTGCTTGCAAAAGTTTGGCCAGTGAGATATAAAATGTTAGAGTAAGATGGTCTTGGTCTGACTCAGCAGAGTTGTTCTTATGTTTTTAACTTGTCTGAGTAGTAATATTCCCCAAGGTGGGAGACAGATACTGCATCTCTAGTTGGATTTTTATTTCAGCTGCCTGTTATTTTCCCTTCCTGATGTGAGTTAATGTGTTCTATTAGGTCCCAGCCATGACTGCCTCTGGATGTCAAGGTCATCCTATTTTATTTTGCTTGGGCAGCTCACCAAGAAACTAGTGGCAAAAAAACATTGAAGGGGAAGGGTTGCAAATTAAATTTGACTCAAGCTTACCAGTGGATCTGCAGCAAACAACTTTATATTCTGTGCCTCTGAAGAGGATGAAAAGAGCTAGCTTAGAATTCTGCCATCCAGTTGAAGAAGGCCATCAATAATACTATACAGGTCAAACTGGAGAAAAGTTAGTAACGATGGTTATTGGCCAAAATCTACTACTACCTAAATAAATCTAAACATAAATCCCATTCCTAAAAGCATTGTCAAATAATGGAGAACTTTTTTTTTTTTAAATGATAATGATAGATTCTTTTCTCTGTTGCTGAAAACTGTTCCTCCCTAGCAATTCTTATGCTAGAAATTAAAGTTGTCCCAACATCGTAAACAGCCAATTCTGTTGCCAAATTCATACAATAATCCCAGCATCATCACTACCAGCCAGAGCTAAATACATGGAAGCAATGTTCAGGATTTTTATATGGAAATTGCCTGAAGGTTGCATACATGAAAATAAACCTCTCCCCATCACTACTTATCTTGCCAAAAAAAAAAAAAAAAGCTTCCACACAAAACTGATTCTAATTCATAAGGAGATGTTGGTGGATAATTATTGCCTGGGCTCAGCTTTGCAAAGCGCTGATGACGGCACTGTTGATGAAGCTCCTTCTATGTATGGCCAC